CAAGGACATTCAGCTTCAGCGGAAATCATAAGTTAATTCAATCTCTAAATCGAGCACTCAATCTGTCTAATTCGAGATAAAATTGTGAATTTATAGATTGTGTTTATGAACAAAATCTATATGAAATTGGGAGCCCATAAAATTCTATTCATATTCGGACACCTACTACGCATAACATTTCAGTTAAAATCCAAGTGAAAAGCAAAAAAATCAAAAGGATATTGCCAGAATGTATCGAAATGTCTTAACGGTTCTATCCGCTCAGCTGCAGCAGCAGGTGAACCGGGCATTGAAGCGCTTCGTCAGCTGCACGGCTGCTCAGCTGCCGCGGCCACTGGCGCCCGGGCACGAGGAGGCAAACGTTGTGAGGCACGAGCCATATGTGGAGGAGGTGCGCCTGGTGCGCATATTCCTAGACTTTAAGCTGTATAAACTGGAACTGGGACCCGATACGCTGGTCGCTTTAACCGCGCAGGAGGCAGCGCTCTATATGAAGCAGCTGTTGGCTATCCGGCGCCTGGAGGCGGCATCTGAGCAGCTGTACAAGGAGCGTTTGGTGCGCGGCTTCTGTCATCTGTCGACCGGACAAGAGGCGTGCGCCGTCGGCCTGTGCTCCGCTCTACGCAAAGAGGATAATCTGGTCGCCGGCTATCGCATTCATGGACTGGCCTACTTGATGGGCGCCACGGCCAAGGGTGTGCTCAGCGAGCTCACTGGCAAGGCGAGCGGCTGTGCCCAGGGAAAGGGCGGCTCAATGCACATGTATGCGCCCAACTTCTACGGCGGCAATGGCATTGTGGGTGCTCAGGTGTCGCTGGGCGCGGGCATTGCCCTGGCCAATAAATATCGGGGCACCGGGGGCATCTGTTTCGCTTTGTATGGCGATGGGGCTGCGAATCAGGGCCAGATCTTCGAGTGCTTCAACATGGCGAAGCTGTGGAAGCTACCGATGGTCTTTGTCTGCGAGAACAACAACTATGGCATGGGTACAAGTGCCTGGCGTTCCTCCAGCAACACTGACTATTACACTAGAGGCGACTTTCTGCCCGGCATCTGGGTGGATGGGCAGGATGTTTTGGCCGTGCGCAGTGCCACACGCTTTGCCATCCAGTATGCCCAGCAACGGGGGCCTTTGGTTATGGAGCTGTGCACCTATCGCTATGCGGGCCATTCCATGTCCGATCCCGGCACTAGCTATCGCACACGCGAGGAGGTGAGTCAGGTGCGCCAGCGTCAGGATCCCATCAATCGGTTCCGCAAGGTCTGTCTCGACATGTCACTGCTCTCCGAAAATCAACTGCGCATCATCGATCAGAGCGTGCGCGAGGAAATGGAACAGGCGATCCAGGCGGCCCGACACGATGCGGAGCTGCCGCTGTCACATCTCGCCAACGATGTCTACTCGGGCAACTGTGCCGAGCTCAAGCTCCGCGGAGTACACGGCCACGACTTGGAGCATGCTCGCAGCAAAGCCACCAGCATGCATAACTAATCATGTTTTTCCTGTGAAACGGACAAAGTATCTCTTTATAGCAAAGCGTACCATGAATAAATTTCTTACTTTATATATACTGCTAGAAAATACTACCCGACTCTTATCATATCACAGGGTATTCAGAATATTATATTTTCATACGTATTTCTTGGTGCTATTGCTCAAGTCAAGTTTGCCATATATGCATTTCTTTTTTTATATTCAACTGTGGAGCACTTGCCATAACCTCCATTAGGATTCGTTTCTCTCTCTGTTCTCCTTCCTCTCTTCGTCTCTCTCTAAGTAATTTATGCTAAATGATCAACGGCAGATGCTTATGTCTACGTTTTATTTGCCAAGCAAAACGAAAACAATAATTTAGCGTGTAGAAGGCGCACAAACTGCTGCACAAGCACAAAAAGCGCAAAATAAATGTAGAGTGGGCTAAAAAGGGGTAAACAGGAAGCGGAAGTACGCCCGCACACACACACGCACAGTGAGCGCACAAACTCATTTGCCTTTGCGCTCACGTTTTCTGCAAAATTTATGCCAAAAAGCAGCATGCAATACATTTTTTTCTCTTCACTGCTGCTGCTTTTGTTGCTTCTTTAGCAGCCGCCTAAAAGTATGCCACAGTTGCGGCAGCTTACGGTATGCTACACTTATTGTGTAGGTTTCAGTTGCTTGCGCCAACCGCCGCTGGGCGGCGCTTTACAAACAAAGATTACAAATTACAGCACTTCGCTGCTTGCATACGTGTGTGCGGGTCGGAATGTATGTTTGCTTTTAATTTGTATGGGTTTCATGTTACGCAGCTTGCAATCTCTGTAGACAAAATATAAATAAATTTATTTTTAACTTAAGTTACCTAACCTCAAAGTATATGCCGGTTCCAATGAGTGTGTGTAAGCCTATTGTGCAGCAAAAAATTACGGCAGGAGCAAGCCGGAAATGAGATATTACACACGACTAAATGCATCACGTATCCGGCATCTGTAGCAAGCCGCCGGGCAACCGGAAGCACCTGGAATACTGCTGAAAGCCCACCACCTCCCACAGCCAAGCGACATTTCCACGCCAACGAGCAGAGAATCTGAATCAAATATAGCCCGTTCCCATTAACGAATCCTTGATTTGTTTAAAAAAACGAATGCTTATATTTGGCCACGCCGCACAATATCCGAGACGTGCCATTTATCCAAGAATCGTAGCTAGCGTTTACAATAGTGTGTGTGTGGATTGTTGCTGTTGTGGTTGTTGTTGTTTATTCACATTGGCTGTGTATTTATAAGCAAGCCGCATCTTTTAATCAATTTACTTCCTATTCTGGTTGTTGCGCGCCATGTCCTTGGGGAAGGAGCGCACTGGAGGCGTACGCAAGCGACGAGCCTCACGGGAACGATTGCGCACCACCTTGGAGTGGATGGCGCAGGAGACGCAGTAGTGAAGCTTCGCGTAGAGTTTGGGCAGCACATAGGTGTCCCAAATGCTGGCCTCGCTGATATCGCGCACAGCGGCCGCCTCAACAATGTTGCGGATAACAAACTTCTTGATAGCTTTATCCTTGGGCACGCAACGGGCACAGTTGGTGCAGCGCACGGGCTTCACATGGCCGCGATTGTGCTTGTTGCGTCCTCCATTACGGCGCTTCTTCGTCATTTCGGCAGCTGCATAATGTTCAATGGGCAGTCGTTAGCCATTGGGGCATACATTCACAGTTGGATGGCAAGCATATTTACCTTATTTAACAATTGAAAAATCCACGAAGTAAAATCCGCGTGTTCACGCCAGGCGACACTTGTGCGAAAAGGGAGTTGCCAGCTAGAAATTTTTAATTACCAGCAACTCTGGGTAAATAGCGCTGCCACAGAATGAATTGCAGCGTTGCTTTTGAGATATTTTTTATAGTAATAGCGCCGCGTTCAGTCAGCTCAGCAGTTGACTAGCGAGGAAAATTTATTAAAAAACTGCGGAAAATTTTTAATATGCAGAGAAATAACAAGTATTACGGCAAAGTATTACTTAATTGAAGTTGACAATAATTTTAAGCTATGTATAAAACTACTAATAGACAACTTAAAAATGTATATTTATGCAGTGGTAATTTTTTAAATGGCGCCAAGAGGTGAGTTTCTTCTATTCCCCACATGTTTTTGTTTTGCTTTGCGGCATGTGCTCCAATTGGATGATCTTGCCACTAAATTTGCTAGATAAAAGCGAATTAGAGCTACAGCGGTGCTTTATACCCTACCAGGAGAATGACGTGATAACTATCAATGGCGCTTGGTGCAAATGTGTGCTTGAGGATGGCAGCTACACCGTTTGTCGTGTGGAGCAGCGCGTTGGAGCTGAAAAAAGTTGCTTTGTGGACGGTGTGGTGGCATCAGCAGGATTCGTAGCCAACAAGCAACGTGTACGCTGCCTCGAGCCCCTAGCTTTGGCAACCAATGTTGAACGAGTGATCTGCACTGTTCATATTACCGAACAACTACTGCGACGGCCGCAAATCTCTTTAAAGCAACTGCATCAGGATGTGGCCATCTTTATGCGCCACCTGAAGTTGATGAAAGGTTGCCATGTGCAACACGAGCGACTACTGAAACTGGGCATTGCCAGCATTGAGATATACGATGTACTGGCGCCAGACTTGCCTTCCAACAGCTGCTTCGAGCTGACGACGCTGGAGATTTCGGACGTGCGTCTGCCAGCGGCTACAGCTTTGCCACGCATCAAACGCTTTCAGCCCCACGGCTTTGAGGCGCCCTTACAGGCACTGGAGCAGCTGCTGCAGAGTTCTCGACGAGCGCAATTCAAGGGATTACCTCTAAATGCTCTCTTAGTCGGCGCCGTCGGCTCCGGGAAGAGCTGCCTGCTCGCCGAGTTTCTGCACCGACACAACTGCAATTGCTTCAATATAACCGCCTCCCAAGTGCTGCGCTCACAGCCCGGCGAAACGGAAACGGAGCTGCGCCGCATCTTCCACTCGGCTCACTCCTTTCAGCAGCTGTTGCATCCGAAGCAGCCAATTGTCATATTGCTGGAGGATCTGGAGCTTTTGTGTCCGGCAACTAGCGCTTCTGATGCCCGGAATTCGGGCAACGCCATGCGCATTACAGCGCAGCTCTACAAGCTCATCGACGAGCTGCCGCACCGCAGTCGCGGCATTTTATGCCTGGCCAGCAGCAGTGCGCCGAATGCAGTGCATCCGCATGCAAGGCGCGCCGGTCGATTTGGGCATGAGATCTGCATCGATATGCCCACGGAGCAGCAACGTCGTCAACTGTTTGCGGGACTCTGGCAGCAACAGCTGGAAGAGAAGCAGCAGCAGGAGCAGGACTCTCAATTGCTTACCCCAGCACTGCTGGACTATGTGGCACAGCAAACGCAGGGCTATGTCATCGCGGACCTAACACTTCTCCTACGCCAACTACAGCAAAGAATGCTCAACCTGTTGCCCACGCCAGCCGAGTTCGATCTCTTACTAAAGAATTATCTCCTGCAGCTTCAGCCGAGCGCTTCCCGAGCTACGGATGTGAGAGTCCTAAAGCTCTCCACTGGCTTCGAGTCGATTGGCGGCATGGCTGCACTCAAACGCACGCTGCAGGTCTCCGTCTTGGCTGCTCTGCGCCACAGCGAGGCCCATGCTCGCTTTGGCTTGAGCCTGCCAAAGGGTTTGCTGCTCTATGGTCCGCCTGGCTGCGCGAAGACGTCTATTGCCAAGTGCCTGGCCAAGGAGGCGAACATGACTTTCATAGCCAGCTCGGCGGCGGAGGTCTACTCCCCGTATGTGGGCTGTGCGGAGCGCTTCATTACGCAAATCTTCAACACGGCGCGCAAGAATGCGCCCTGCCTCATATTTCTGGACGAGATCGACTCGCTCGTGGGCCGTCGGACGGTTGGAAATGGCTCAGGTGGCGGTGGTGTCCAGTTGCGCATCCTCTCCACGCTGCTCACCGAAATGGACGGCATCGTGAGCGGGGACAATGTGCAGCACATTCTTGTAGTGGCCGCCACCAATCGCCCAGACATGCTGGATGATGCGCTGCTGCGTCCCGGTCGCTTCGACAAACTCATCCATGTGCCGGCGCCAGACCTGGCCTCACGTCTGGCTCTACTCCAGCTGCATGCCCAACGCATGCCCTTCCATGCCAACGTGCAGCTCGAGGAGATTGCCGCACGCACCGAGCGCTACTCTGGCGCGGATCTGTGCAACCTTTGCAATGAGGCCGCCATCGAGGCCTTCCAGCGAGACTTCAATGTCAGCCACATTGAGCTACAAGACTTTGAAACGGTCTTGGCCAGGCAAAGGTCATCACTCGACCAGCGCCAGATCGAGAGTTATTATAAGTTTGCAGCGAGGCATTTATAAGATCGCGAATCCAGAAGGATTTTAACTTGAATTTGTAAATAGATCAAGTATTGTTTGAGTTTGCATACCTTGGTTTCTTGTCCAGTTACATATTCTGTAAATAATTAAATTATTATTCATGTTTTTATACTCATGAAATGTATATTTTTTGCTTTCTGTCCGTCCGACCGTCTGCTAGAGATGAAGAGAGATTTTCTTATACATAATATGATATGATAAGCTGTAGAGATCAATGATTATGTAAATTATACTCATTCAACGAGTATATTGGCCTTGTCCAGGTCCGTCTTGCTATGATATGATTCAGTAAAAAGTTCCAAATTATGTTAGCATAATTTTTTTTTTGCTTTTTGATATATTTTGTACATTTACAATTGTTGCTGCAGGGCTTAGATCGTTTCTTTGTACACCGTTTCGACATTAGAATAGATGGGAAATGCATTGGAGGTCGGCTTGGACGCTGCTGCTGCTGCTGTTGCTCAGCCGCGCTCCTTGGACACGCTGCGTCTATGCTGCTGGCGTCTGGGTGAATCGCGTCGCTCCCGTTCTCTGCGTGACGGTCGTGCATCACGATCGCGTTCACGCTCACGGTCACGTTCACGAGCGCGATCCCGCTCCCGGTCCCGGTCCCTTTCGCGTTCACGCTCCCTCTCCCTATCTCTGTCACGTTCTCTCTCCTTATCGCGTCCTCGCTCACGCTCACGCTCGCGGTCACGTTCACCATCTCGTGGTCTCTTGCCGCTGCGACTCTCCTCTTCGGCTCGTCTGCCGCGACGATCGCGCTCCCTTTCCCTTTCCCTTTCCCTGTCCCTATCCCTTTCTCGCTCTCGTTCCTTGGCCGGCGATGCCTCTCGCCTGCTGTGGCCATTGTGCTGCTGTTGACGCGCTGGCGGCGAGTCATCGGGTGCCTCCAGGTTGAAGTCATCGGAATCCGGGTGCTTGCTCCGGGATGCAGATTTAGTTTTTGATTTGCTGCCGTTGTTCTTATCAGTGCGAGCAATCTTGGGCTGTGGCTCCTCGTTGCTGTTGTCGCTGCCGGAGGATGTGGCTGGAGAGGAGCTGCTGTCACTCTCATCCTCACTGCCAGCGCTGCTCGAACTGGAGCTGCTCGTCTCTGCGTGTTTGCGCTTTCGCTTTGCTTTCTTATCAGCTGCCTTTTTCTTTTCCTTCTTCTTCTCCTTCTTCTTGGCCTTCTCTGACTTCTTTTTCGCTTTCTCCTCCTCCCTCTCTTTGTCTGTGGACTTTTTGGCCTTGCTTTGCTTCTTTGAATTCTTCTTTCCCTTCTTCTTAGCGCTCTTCTCTTTATGCTTGCGCTTGCGCGTCGGCTCACTGGACTCGGAACTGGAGCTGGACTCGCTGTCGCTGTCCTCGTCGCTGGTGTCGTCATCGTCGCTGCTGGAGGAGTTGCTGCTGTCGCCACTGCTGCTGGAGGAGGAGGAGTCGGAGGAGGACGAACTTGAAGCTGGGGCCGCTTCGCCAGCTGCATTTGGATCCTTGAACGGATTACCGCTGGCCAGCAGCTCGGAATTGATGGCCGGCACTGTCTTGGGCGCATTCTTCAAGAATCGACGCAAATCATCCGTCAAGCCGCCCAAGCCGATGGAGGTGAAGAAATTGATGGAGAAGCGCGTATTACGCGGATTATCCTTGGGAAACAGACCCGCCAAACTGTCCAGCAGCACTTCTTCCTTGAGCTTCGCATTCAGCTTGCCCAGGCCCATATATTCGGCCAGCTCCTGGAATAAGATCTTGATGAAAATGCGACTCGACGAGGTCGTATCATCCTCGTTCAGCTGTATGCACTCCAGCACATCCCAGCTGATGGCGTCCGTGAAGAGCAGATGGGCAAAGAATTTGCTAACGTTGCGCAGACGATTCGTGTCCAGGCGATGGGTCGTCTGATAGGTGTCCTTGAAGATCTCCTCGAAGGGCGGTATATAGATCTTGTTGATGCTGCAGAAGCGCTGCGCCAGCAGCCCATAGAACTTCTCGTAGGTGCGCTGCTCGGCACAACAGTCGAGGAACATGTGACAGAGCTCCACCTCCTGGCCGGGCTTCAGCTGCATCTTCATCAGCTTGTGCGCGCACTCCTCGTAGTCCAAGCTGGAATTGATGGTCAGATAGATGGTGCGACGCAATGCAATCAGATTCGTTTCCGTGTTGTCAATAATATCGCCAGCGTCGCCCTTCTTGCCATCTGCATCGTTGTCTGAGCCGGATTCGCCATCCGAATCACTGTCCGAATCCGAACCAGAACCGGAGGAGCCAGAGCCCGAGCCACTGGCATCGCTGCCCAATATCTCGCAACTGAGCGCCTTGTACTTCTCCTCGTTCTCCGCATATTTCTCGTCGAATTTAAAGACATCTGCAAAAATGAATTGAAAGATTAGTGAATTCCTGGAGGAGAGTTTTCATAGTTCACTCACTAAGTATATCTTCTGTTTCGGTGGCCTCGTCCAGCATCATAAGATGCGTAAACTGATCATCCTCCTCCACAAGCTCCAGATCATCCACAATAGCCGGGTGATCCTTGAAGCCATCCTTGCGCACCTGGAAGAGCACCTCGATCATGTACTGCACACGTCTGTCCAGCTTGCCCTCATGCAGAATGTTGCGCAGCATCTCGAAGATGGCGCCAATGCCCTTGGAGGAGACCTCCGTCAGTTTCATGCCGCACTCCTTCAGAAAGGATATGGCCACCTCCACGGAATCATCGGTGGGCATCTCCACGAGCAGCGTCAGCATCTCCAGCGCCAGAATCTCATGCGCAACACGTTGATTAACCAGGTGGGCAATGAAGCGTGTGGCGGACATGCAAACCAGTTTGTCGTTGCGGCGGAAGGCGCGACGGAACTGGATAACCAAACGCTTCAGCAATAGCTCACCAATATTTGGAAACTTGGAGTTGATAATGGCCACCAGTGCCGCATAGACATGCGTGAAGGTGGGCGACGCCGCCTGCGCCTGAATGATGCTACGGCAGAGCAGGCCACGACCTCGCACAATATTCTCTCGCAAGAGTTCCCGAGTTATGATCGCGATGTTTGTGACGTTGACCTTGTTGATGTAGCCATGGATGGACTTCTTGAGCGCCTCCCAGGCGATGCGCTGATACGCCGCCGATGCCTTGTCCGTGATCTCGGCCTGCATGAGGCGCAGCTTGGCCGGCGGTATATAGGCGCCGCCAGTGCGCGAGGTTAGCAAATCGACGGTGCGTCGCTGTCGCTCGCTAATCTTGGCCGCTGGCTCGCTGACGGTGGCATTGTCCGCATTCTCGGCTGGCGGCGTGCTGGGCTTAGATGCAGCTGCTGCTGCAGAGGACGGCTCATCGCTGCGGCGATGCTGATGACGCTTCTCACGCTCACGGGCGCGCTCCTCGTCGCGCTTATCCCGCTCCTCGTGACGCCTCTGACGCTCAGCACGCCTGCGTTCTACGGAAGTAGAGCGGCGTCGCACTGGACTCACGCTCCGGCTGCGCGGACTGCGTGTGCGCGTGCGTCGGCGTCGCTGGCGACGAGATGGACTCGTGCTGCGGCTGCGACTGTGCGATGCTTGTCGGCGTCGGCGTCGCTGCTGCTTCTCCTCATCCTCGTCGATGGATCGACTGCGAGTTCGTCTCCGCACCTGACTGGCAATTTGCGGCGGTTGTCTGGTCGGCGCCACCTGGCTAATTATTGACTTCAGCTGCGGCTCCTGCTGTTTGGCCACGTTGTTGCTCGCATCGGCAGCTGGTGTGGCTTCCACGGGCTGAACATCATCCTCTTTCTGAAAAGTTTATATCACATTAGTAAACAGAGAAATTATGTGTGTGTTTTTATATATTCATCTTACATCGGTAATTTCTCCCTCTTCCACATTACTGTGTGTAGGACTAGAAGCAGCGGCCTTCTCGCTCGTTCCATTCCCATTGCTGGTTACAGCTGGCAGTTCCTTTTCCTCCAGCTGCTGTTGCTTATTGTGCTCCTGCTCCTGTTCTTGCTCCTGTTCAGGCTGCTCACTTGGCGTTTCGACTTGTTGCTGTTCCTCAGCGGCATCTTTTGTTGTCTCTTTTATTTCTACCTTTGCGGGACTCTCAGGCTTGGGTGCATTTTCTTGTTCGTTCCGCTCAGACGTGTCAGCAACGTTTGTTTTATTTTTGTCAACAGCCTGTTCTGCTTCTTCTTCCCTATCACTTGTCGATTTTACTTTATCGTTAACATCCTTAACCTTATCCTTGTCTTTGCTTGTCGTTCGCCTCTTTGCTTGTCCCACGTCTTCCTCTTCTTCTTTATGCTCACTTGGCCGCTTGATGCTGCTGCTGCCAGCGTTGCTGTCGTCGCCGCTGCTGCTGCTGCCTTTGCTGGCGCTGCCGGTGCTGCTGGTGGAGCCACTACTGCTGCTGCTGCTACTGCTGTGACTGGAGCTATCGCTCGCATCACTTTCGGCATCACTGTTGGGCATGCTTTCTGCCGAAGGTATAATTCTAACGCGTAACTTGTCGAAACTGGGTGTTGAAAATTTTACAGCTAAACGTTGGCAAACGCGGCCGCTTGGTCAGCGGTTGCAATAATATAATGTATGGCAACCCTCAAGTGCCGATATGTTTTTCATAAGTATTTATCGATACATCCAAGTCATTGTGGCGGCAGCTCGATAAGTTTGCCGCCAAACAAGATTTGAGGACTTCAAATAATATAAATATTTTTATAAAGCAGTCGTTGAAAAGAAAGCCAGCCATTTTATACAAAATTCGAAAGAGAAAATATGTTGTAGCTTCAGTTCATATTTTGATTAAGTCGAGGGTAGATCATTTCACGAGCTCTTCGCACATTTACAAATATAACTTTTATTCACAAAACGGAGTATATTTATACTCCATTCACAACTGAATACTTTTTTTTCGGCTTTTCGGATACCATAAAAATAAAATTTTTGATTTAAAGTAAATTTTTGTCTTCGGAGGTAATCGAATGGTAAGCGGTACGAACTGTTGCTCTCTACTATATTTTCCAAAGTAATTTCCGTAGACATGGCATTGAATCGTCGTCTGGTCAATGTAATTTCGACAAACAATACGAAAACGACTTGGTCCCGCCAGTCGATTCTGAGCTGGTGCAATCAAGTCCTAAGCACCGATATTCAGAAGATCGATGATCTGTGCACTGGGGCAGCCTATTGCTGCCTCATGGACATGCTGGTGCCGGACTGTATTAGCCTAAGCAAAGTGAAATTTAAGTGTTACCTGGAGAACCACTACATCAACAATTTGGCCCTGTTGCAACAGTGCTTCAACAAACTAAAGATCAACAAAGTCATTCCAATCCATAAGCTGGTCAGGGGCAAATTCCAGGACAATTACGAGTTCGCCGTATGGTTCCGTTTGTTCTTTGAGACCAACTTCCATAAATTGCCTGAGGGCTACGATGCCTTGGTCAAGCGCAACTATCAGACATTCACAAAGGAGCTGAAGTCCTCCATACAGAAGGTCCAGCGTGCTGAGACACCCGTCGCTATCACACCGAATGGGCCACGCGATCGCGCCCGCTCCCGTGATCCGACCACAAGGGAGCAGACAGTCCGTGTGGCGCCCGTATCGGGTATAAACAGAGCCCGAGCCATTGGCGGGCAATCACCAAAGTTGAATAGATGTTAAAATATTGTTGAAGTTATTTTCTAGTTGTGATGGGGCTCATACATAGGTGGATTAAATAAAAAATATCGATTGTATTGCAACAAAAACATAAATATAGCTCTATATATTCTGCTTACACTCCTCTCGTAGGTCAACATACGTACTAAATTAGGATTATGCTAAGAAAAT